AATTATACATAATTATGTATATTTATAATACACAGTACACATATCAAAAAGATATTCCCGCGTTTTATAATTTCATTATTATTAAATTATTATTAGATTAATTAATAAATAATTTATTAATAATTAAATTTTTCGTAATATTTTAAAAATGTTTTNTAAATATTATATTATAAATATAAAATTAATACTCTAAAAATATTTTTTATAAATACGAAGTTAATTAAATTTTACATAATTTTTTATTTAATTTTTTATCTTTATTATAAATTAATGTAATTAAATTTTTAAAAAATTTGATAATATTTAAATGAACAATTTTAAATAATTTAGTAATATTATTTATATGAATGAAAAATTATAATATTTCTAAACAAATTCAAATAAATATACAATATACATAGTTTATTCTTCATTTTGTTATTAAAATATATATCATTAGTCACAGTATAGTTACAATCAAGTAGTCAACTTCAATTCAGCATTGAAATAACACATAGTAGGAGTATATATTTTAAAAGATAAACAATTTATATTAATATATATTTTTCGAATTATATCATATAACAAATAAACTATATCTATAATTGAAATATGTAATAAACTAAATGTAAGAAAATAAATATTTTTGTTTTTGTAATTAATATAATTATTTGATTAATAGTATTATAAATTCATTGAAAACGGTATCTGAAGTTATATATGCACTTTGCAAACTCGCCGGGAATGTAAAACGTTAAACTGTTATATGATTATACTTCCAGTTGTATGTATCTCTTTTTAAAACAAACTCACTTTTGTTGCTTGCGTTGTGATATCTTGGCGGCAATAGAAAGGAGAGAGGGAAAAGAAGGTAGGAGAAAGGTAAAAGTAAACAGTGAAATGAAGAAAGAATTAAAGTAGAAGGTGTGTGCGAATATTTACTATATATTAATGCGTGCTAATACTTAATTATTGTTACTACAACCTGTTTTCTCGGTTGTTTGTAGGAGGATAGTTTTTAAAGATATTAAAACGTCTGTAAAAGACGATTCCCAAAAGGAATCAGTAAACGATTCCATTTTAATGTTCATGTAAAATATTAATAGTAAGGTTGTTGAAGACCTTATTGTAAATTTAAGATTTTCGCGAAAATTTTCTTTGTAGACACATTTGTGATGTGATGAACGAGATTTTATTGATGTAATTCTTTGCAATACAAAGACTTGCAGAATGGCTTCTAATATGCAATCTTTCCCGCGAATGCTGAAAATGTTGCGGGAAAATAGCAATATCAAGGAAAAACGTGAAGCTTTAACCTATATTCGCAGGTACTATTGTTGATATTTTTGCTTATAAATCGATATATATATATGTATATATATGTACGTGTATATATAAATTATTTAATAAAAACTAGACATTTTTATATTAAATTATGGATTCTTTTCAAAATATTTTTTAATTACATTAATATTATTCTTTAATTTCTATTCTTTAATGATGAATATATTATTGATTTCTTTATAAGAAAAAATTTTACTTAAATTTTATAATAATTATGTTTTTTTAGTAACAGCAAGAAATTAGAATCTACACAAGTTATTAAAGAAGAACAATATAAAGAATTATGTAAACTAATTGTAGATGCATTTGCAAATGGAAATAATGATATACAAAATGAAGCATATGAAACATTAAATGTAGTTATCCAAGAGTTTAAAGACCATACTCTGAATCTATTTGAAGCTATATCACAGATAAGTCGAAAACATAGGTTTGTTTATATAAAATATTTAAATATTACAATTTTATTATTGATAAATTATAATTTTTTCATAAATTAATTTTTCATTCATAAATTATATTAGAAATATTATATTAAAATATTTATTAAAATATGTCTATTATATTTAAATATATATTATTTTAAGATTATTTGTTAATGTTAAAATAATTTTTATTAATATTTCTACAATATTTCTCATATTTTATCTAGTTATAATACTTTTATTATAATTTCAGATTAAAAATTTTAAAATTATTAGAAGTAGTTGAAGAAAATGCTATATCAACATTTGTACATGATCCACATGCTGTAAATTTTTTTAATAATTGTATGTGTGCAGTACAAACAAATACAATGCCATGGATTGCACCAACTGCATGTGTAGATAATCTTCAAGCATTAATAGATGCTGAAAGTAAACCATTATCAGATGACCAAAGATTAGAAGAAGAAACAGTTAATTATTGCATAACTTTTTTAAGAAGATTATATAAAGTGGCTGCAGTAACATCAGATATTAAAGTTCAAAGGGTATATTAAAATAATATTTATAATAATATAAAAATTTAAAAATATTAAATTAAATATTTTTACAGTTTAATGCAATATTAATAGATAAAGTAATGGTATTAGCTTATATGGGACATAAACGACAACGAGGTCCTGCTTTAAAACTTTTACAACAAGCTCTAACTGCAAATATATTACCACATGTTCGTACCAAACTAGCATCTGCATGGACTCGATATATAGAAGCATTACAGTCTACATACTGCAAACGTATGTTACTTTTAGTATCTGCATGTGAATTAGATTGGGCTACACAGTGGAATGTTAGCATCCAGTTTCTTGGTGTGGATCTTCACCGTGGTGCTGGTTTAATAAATAATTTATTAAGTGTAGAAGAAAAGGCATTTAAATCTACTGATACAATTATACGCAGGTATGAATAAATGATTATATAAAAAGTGATATTATAAAAAGAAATGAAAAATAATAAAATATTTTATATTCTTTCAGACAAGCATTCCTTTCATGGAAATTATTGGTGGACAATTTCGCCTTAGATCCACATGAACTTGCTAGTGCTAGAAGAATAAAGTTGTTATGTATTCCATTGAATGCTAAAAATAGTAAGACTGAATTAATAGCATTGACAAAATTGGAAGTCTGGTGGCATGTGATCATTAAACTTTATAAAGATATTTCTAAATTTGTTAATCCTGTAATCACACAATTCTTAAACTTTTGTTTTGGACCTCTTGGAGATACACCATTATTATCTTCGAAATTTGACATAGTAGCTTCTCCAGGAAAGAGATTTTTTAAAACAAAAGTTGTTGCAGTAGATGCTTTATATCAATTTCTTGTTTCAAAGCAAGAAAATCATACTGCTCCAGTATTGGAAGAAAGACTCCCATATCCTATATCTGATGCTATTTTTCAAGAATGTTATAAAAGTATAATTCACAGTGTAGGAGAAGTTTTACTTGTTTTTAGTCAACTTACAGATGAAGAAATGAAAAACAGATATCAAGTTGGTAAAATATTATGGAAAAGTTTAGTCAATTATATACGCGAATCAAAATTGGAAGATAAGGTTAGTTTAAATATTATTTGAAAGAATACTTCACAATTTAATATGTATAAATGATAAACAATATTATTTTACAGTCTATTATGTACAAGGATATAACATTAGTTATTACAGAATTAACAAATTATGCTAAAAATAAACCAATGATTAGAAATTTAATTCTTGATACAATTTTATTTGAAATTGCTGATTTAAGTACAGATTTTAATTTTCAAGATGATACATTATCAAAGTTAGTGTTTAAACTTCTACAAATTCCAATTTTAAATGAAGCTAAAAAGTAAGTACTCATATAAAAATTCAGATTTTAATTACGAATATATTGTGATTTTAAATAAAAAAAAAATGTTATATAAATCTAGATTGTTAAAAATTTAATTTTATTTTGTTTATAATTAATTATTTTATTTTCTTAATATAAAATACATTAAAATGTTTTTTTTAAGGGATCATTATAATGCATTAAAATGTCTTTTCTGGCAATGTATTAAATCTCAAAAGGAAAATATCTATTATTCACATGCATTTAATTGCTTAAAAGAAATGTATGAAAAATTACATGCACTATTAAATATAGCAAATAAAAACGAGTAAGTTTAAAATAATTTAAAATAATAATTAATATCAATTATAAAGTTAATTTTATTCTATATTTTTTTTAATTCTATTATATTTTTCAGATCTATCATTTTTGAATTATGGCTTATGTTAGGAGATGTGTTAGGAAAATATATGAGTGATATTCAAGAAATTAATGAAGGAACTACTACAGAACATAATTTAAAAACTGTTCAATCTATTGTAGTATTTCCATTTATGTATATACATTTACAAGATCAAAAACAAGTTAGTTTTATTATGTTAAATAAGTTTCAATTAATTATATTATAATTATGTATTATGTATAGATTTTTTAATTATGATAAATTTGATAAATAATATGTATATCTTTATTTTAATTTTCATTATTATGACAGATTCAAGAATTGGCAAAAGCTTGGAAATATTTATATAAACATTTTGAAATGCGAACAGATCTTATAACAACTGTAAAATCTAACGAAATTTTATTAAATATTGCAAGTATTATGCAACATTCTATAACAAAAAACAAAGAATCTCCTTATCTTACTATATACTGTTTAGATATTTTGTTAAGTACTATCAACTATAAGTTATTGCTGGGTATGTCAATATTAATCAAAAAAATAATTATAATAAATATATAAGGTAATTATTTAATTTTTAATCTTCAGTAAATACAGAAATTCCATCTGTTATACATCTTATTGTGGATCTTGTATTATATTTTTTATCTGAAAAAGAAGCTAAAGAATGTGAACTTGCTCTTAAAGCAATGTCAGCCACAATTATTACTATTTATGGACATAATCCAGAAAAAATAACACCATATTTGCAAGTTTGTAAATCTGTAATCGAACTTATACTTCAGTCTGAATTAGAAATGTTAAACAAAGAAGTATGTATCCTTTTTAATATATTATTTTAATTATATAACAAAAACATAATTAATTTTAAAATATTTCACTTATAGGTAGCAAATACATGGGAAAGTATAATTAGCATTTTTAAAGAACTTGGTAAAGTGATAAATTATGATCTTTTTTCATCTTATAAAAAACTTATTATTCAAGCTTTAAATCATTCAAATGTTGATATACAAATTCAAACTGCATCTCTCTTTGAATCAAAAAATGTCTTCAGTGATAGCATTAAATTATTGTTGGAAGAGATAGAAAAAGAAATAGGGAAAGATAAAGTATTAAACATATCAGAAATTATAAAAAAGGAACATGCTCAAATTGAGAAATTACCAAACCAAATAAAAATAGTTGGTAGTTTTTTAAAAGGATCTAATAGCCCAAAATTGATAGTTAAAGAATCAGATAAAAATGTGGATAAAAATATAGGAAAGAAAGCATCAATTGATTCTGATTCACAGGTACATATATATACATATATATATATATAATTTTAAAATTTTTATGCATACATTTTCCCTGTGCGCATAGTACATATAAGGCAATTTGATTATATATTCATTATTTGATTATAAATATATTTCGTTTATAACTAATTTAATATTTAATATTTTTCAATTATAGGATTATGTCTTTATTAAAACAGATTTAAAATTTGATGTTAATCGCTTAACGGAACATCAAAAAGAATCTTTAAAACGTAGAAGAGAAGATATACCAGCATTATATAATGATTTGTCGCAATCTTCTTCACAAGATACTCAAAATTTACAAGAATGGTTTGACAAAAAAAATAAAATTTTTGAAGAAACAGAAAAAGAACATAATAAAAAAGATAATATATCAATAAAAAATATCTTGGATGATGATGCAAATAAAGAAAACAAAATTGAAATACAAGAATTAGAAACAATTAATAAATCATTTATTGAAACAGATACAAAATCAATAGATAGTGTTGAACGAAATATAGCATTAGAATCTGTACAAAAAACAAAAGTTAATGTAGACAATAATGAAATTTTACTTATAGAAAAACAAACGGCAATAGTAGAAAATGCTTATGACAATGCGGAAGCAAAAACTTCAGCAGATTTTGTATCGAAAAACTTAGATACTAATATTCAAGAAGAATTGTTAAAAAATAAAGATGACCAAAGACTATCTCCGTCTGTATTAGATAATAGTAAGCGGCGCAATCGTTTCAATATTACTGTAAAATCTACTTTGCCAAAATCAGAAGAAATTGTTAATAATCAACCAGAACAATATTCAAGTACTACTGAAGTTTTGCAAAGAACATTAAGGACAAAAGTAATTCAAAGCAAGTCTGAAACAACCACTAAACAAAAAGCTTCGGAAAATATGGAAAATAAATCGACCAAAGAGGATAAAAGAGGTATTAAACGTAAATTGGATAATGAAAACGAAGGAACTAATCTGCGTCAACGGAGAAAATTGATGGATACGACTAGTGATGTTGATAGCTGTAAATCTTCAGAAAATGATAAAATTTCGATAGATGAAGCGAATTTGAGTCAACGTACAAGAAATGAGATATCTCGTTTACGTATAAATATGGTATTTGATAGTCCTTTATCAACTAGTCGTCGATCAAAGAGTCACGAAGATACTAATAAAGAATTCATTGCTAAAAAATATTCAATAGAAAATAAAGGTGCTAAATTAAAGGCTGGAGATATAAAAATAAGTGATGTAAAGAAAATTCAAAAACTTAATGATAAAGAATTAAAAGTTAAAGCCAAACCAGGAAGAAAAAGATCTGATGAAAAATATTTAATAAAAAAAGATAAAAAAAATGAATCAGAAGAGCAAAAAAAAGTGGAAGAAAAGAAAAAAGAAGAAATTAAACATGTAGAAGTTATTTCCAAAAATATAACAGATAATAAATGCGATTCATTTGATATTGAAAAATCTATTGAATCTAATGATGATGTTAAACTCAATGAAAGTAAAAGTCACATTCAGGATGATATGGAAGACATAATAGAAGATTCACAAGGATTATCAAAATTAGGCAGAAATAGATTGTTAAAAGTAAAACTTGAAATTAATAAAATTGAAGATATAAAAAAAATTTCACAGGATAATAAGAATGAATTAAAAGAAGATAAAGAAATAGATGAAAAAAAACAGAAAGAAACTATACAGACAGAAATTATTTCAAAAAATATAGATAATAAATGTGATTTACTTGATACAAAAAAATCTATTAAAATTAATGTTGAAATAGTTAATAATAATAACAATAACAACAACAATAACAACAATAACAACCATAATAATAACAATAATAATCATAATAATAATAATAATAATCATAATCATAATAATATAAATAATGATGATATTAAATCAGATAGTAATATACAAACTATGAATCAAGATCATGAATCCATTGAAGGAAAAAGTCAAATTCAGGATGATATGGAAGATATAATAGAGAATTCACAAGAATTATCTGAATTAGAGAAAAAATATGATGAAAAGCAATATTTCATAAAAATAAATAGAATTGAAGATATTTCTTCTTCAGTGAAATGTCATGAAATTACAATTGAAGATGAGGAAGTATCTGAAATTATTTTAAATAATTGTGATAATGACAATATTGAAGTTCCTAAAGATAATATTAAGGAATTTGAAGAAACCAATGAAATTAATATGATTGAACCAAAGATTTCCTCTTCTGTTATTGAAAATAATTTATGTGATAATGAAAAAGATACTATAGTTGATGTGCAAAAAGTAAATGATGGATTAGTATCTAAATCTTTGCTCGAATTTTCCTCACCTAAAAGTACTATGAAACGTCAGGCAAAATTTAAATCCTATTCATCTTATTCAACACAAGGACGTGCTGCTCATATGATAGGATTAGTAACAAAACAAGCTAGAATGGAAACCGAATCCTGTGTTATAAATTTAGATGATGAACTAGTAGGTAAAAAAATAAAATCCAAAGATACAGATAATGATATATTGCTTGGAAAGAAAGAACAAGGATCTGTATTAAAAGAGGCTGATAAAATAACAGCATTATGTAGTAGCAGACAAGAAAAAATTTTTAGTAATATGAGATCAACAGATTATTGTCCTTCACCTCCAATAAAATTATTTTCTAATTTGAAAAATGATGGAGAAAAAATTTTCTCAAAAACAGACAAATCAATAGATAATGCACTTATACAAAATGATATACAAACTGATAAAATAGGAGAAGAAACTCTTGAAGCAGATGAATTACCAATTTTGGAATGGTCAAATGCAAATCCACCTTCATTAAATGCAAGTCCAAGTGCAAGTATATTGAAACGTCAACGGCAATATTTTCCAGAATCTGATTCAGATATAACTCCTAATAAGGTAATTTTTTAAAATATTTGATATAAAATAGTTTAATAAAATATAAAATAATTGTTTTATTTCATATATTTTTTATAATATTTGATTTTTATATATTTAAATAATTTTTAATATAATTCAACTTCAATAAAATATACTAATTATAATATATTACATTTTATTATAGAGAAAAAGAGTAAGTTTTGCGGATCCTCCGGTTTCGAAAGAAATGGGATATGAGATTACATCTACTGATTCACCTCATAAAATTAATAAATTTACATCACGTGGATTATTAGCACGTAAGGATTCGTCACTAAGATTAAAACAAATTAAACAAAAATTAACATCAGTTGATTCAGATAAATTAGAAAAAAGTGAAGAAATCGATATGACAAGTGTATCTGAAGTTGACTTACAATGTGAAAGAGAAAATGAATTATTAACAAAAATAGCTGAAGAATTAGAATATTCAGAGAATGTCACAATAGATAGTGATGTACAAACATCATGTGATTCTGTAGAAAATGAATCAATAAATACTGTTCCTATAATAGTTAATAAAGATAATAATATTAAAATTAATAATTTAAATGTTGAATTTGAAATTACTCAACATATAGAATCAACATCTATGAATAAGATAGATCAAAATAAAGAAGATAAAATTTTAGAAAAATCAAAAAATAGTATTAATTTAGAAAATAATGAGTTTAATGATTCAGCAACACAAACAGATATATTTGGAGTAGATGCAAAAGAAAGTAGTACAGAGACTTCTATTAATATTGACATAAGTGCTATACAAAATACATCTATTAAAAATAATACATTAGATCTGCTTAAATTCAATGTTGGAAATGATTCTATAATAGAACATTCATCAGAAAAATGTATAAATTCTGAAAATTTAGAAGATACAGCAGATGCAGCAAATCTTACTGAATTGAATTCTTCTGCAAATTTAGATGAAATCTTTTGTGGAAAATTAATAAGAACCAGTACACAATCAACAGAAAATTTACACGAACAAGATACTTTACCAGTTACAGATTCAGTATTTGGTAGTTTACCTTTGAGTCAAGATAGTCAATGTACAAACGAATTTAATGTAGAAGTTCCACATCCAGAATTATTAGATTCAATTCAACCTATATATCCTACATTAATATCGTGTAAGGAACCTATAACATCTATCATTGAGCATTTGACTAATCCTCTTTGGGTGCAACATTTATCTACATATTTTATAAATAGAAATATTCAATCTATTGGTGATCTTGCACAATTATCTGAACGTGAAATAAATAGAATACCAGTTAAAGGTAATTCAAAAATTGAATTTGTAAAAAATGTATTAAAATACTTCGAAAAAAAATATGTTTCAAAAGAATTAAATAATACAATGGAAAATGTAGATAACGTTTTAAACAATGAAATATCACGTTCTGTAAATATTAATGTACTTTCATGTTCTACACTGAAAGTATCTCAAGATCAAGTATTAAAAGACATTACAACAAATATTGATGAAACACATAATAAAGTAAATCATAATGTAACATTAAATCAACCAAGTTCTAGTAGAACTTGTGACGTTGTTATAACCGACAAGAATACAGAAACGACTGTATCAAAATCATCAGATATAACATCTTCAGATATAATGTATGTTGATAATATTATATATTTTATTTTTTTATCTTTTGATTTTAATATTAAAATATTATTATTATTTAAATTTAATATTATTTTTATTCAAAATATATTTTGTATTATATTATTTATTTTTATCTTTATATTTATTACTTTTTTAATATCAATATTTTTATTCGTTATATATTCAATTTTTTTTATAAATAATTTGAGAGTCACCAGGAGTTAGTTAATTAAAGTAGTACTAATATTGAGTTTATATTTTTCAGTTCTTTATCTTTCATCATGAATAGATTTAAAGCAATGAGCTTATAATGAATAAATACTATAATCTATTTTTTGCTTATATAATAGAATGCATTTATATTACAAATTTATTAAATTTTAAAAATAAATTTATTTACATAGGAATATTTCTGTGAAGATAGAATTTATATGAAACACAAGTAACATTATTTAATATTTATATATTGTATAATAATAGTTTATTTTTTTTTAGACAAATTATAAATATACCAATATCACCTAAAATAGTTACTTCTACATCAGAAAGTATTATTGGAAATTCTACTCCTTTTATTAGAAGTGCAATATCATCTATACAAACAACAAAAACTGTTGGAACTTGTACTAGTAGTGATTCTATTTATCTATCTAAGACAGGAGTGAATAAAGCAACAAAATCGGTCGCAGCACAAATGGCTTTGGAAGATTTGTTAGATGAAATAGATGTTAATTTAGTGCTAGAAAGTGCAGCAAGAAGATGCACACCAGATAAACTTCTTATCCAATATAAGGTAACTTTAAAGTTTCATTTTAGCATATTCATATTTCAAATGTTGTTTTTAATTATTGTTAATGTAAATTTATATTATTTGTTTTTTATTTTTTATCATATGAACTATAAAATTGTTACAGAGTATAGAACATAAATTTGATAATTTTTTTCCTGTAAATTTATAATAGAAAATTTTTTTTATTTTCAAATTATATTATTACTTATTAATTTATAATTTATTAATAAAAAATTGTATAATTTTTATCTTTATCTAATAATAGAGATATGTGATAATTAATTTTTAAATTTTTATATTTTAACTAACATTTAATATTAAGAAAAAATTGGTTATGAATGCATTAATAAGTTATTATAGGCACGCGGATTTATTTTTACTAATTATATTATAATTACATTATTTAGATTGAAAATAATTTATATACAATTTAAATACAATTTAGGAAAAATAGTAATTTCAAAAAAACTATCATAAAGATTTGATTGATTTATTATATGAATTTTGAAATAATGTGTGGGATTGCAAGTGAAGACATTTTTATTTTTGATTTCGATATTTATTCATGAAAATGCGTGTAACAAATTTATATAATAATTTTTTATTTTAATATTTGAAAAATATATACAGAATATATATATATATATATATTATCGGATAAGAATAATAGAAAATATAGGAAAAATTATTATAGAAAAAATAAAATATTTGCAAAAATGATTGTTTGATAATAGGTTAACGTTTCATACGTATAAAAAATATTGATGTATTAGTTTACACATATATTTAACTTTTTTAGTTTTGTATTATAGTAAATTAGTATAAATATTGAAATAATGGTGAATTAAAAAGAAATTTCATTTCAATAATAATAATATATTTAATAATATGTTCAATAATTGTTATAGATTAACGTAGTTTGTCCGCGTATATAATTTATACAATTTTTGCATCATGTTTATTTTATAATATCATAAAAGTATATGCATCATTCATCCTAAAAAGATTTATAACAAAATATATTATAATAAAAAAGTTAAGATAGAAATTGAAATCAGATTACTTTTAAATATATTATAGAATTTTGATGGATGATGTAAAAAAAGTTCTTTTAAACATATAAAATTTTAAATATAAAGGACATTCATTTATTTATTTGTTTTTTTGTTTCTATTTTTTTATCTTAGAATTATATATCTAATCCAAAATTTATAAAATTAATATAATATCTTCAGATTTAAAAACAGTGATTTTTAGATACAAAAAAATAATGTATTAAATTTATATTTCTGAATTCATATTCTTTTTTATGTTGTGTAAAAAAACTATATATATTTTACCTGTATCAGTGCTTTTTCAATGTCTCGTTTTACTTTATATTAAAAAATAATTAAGATACTTGATGATAAAATGGAATAATAAATATTTCGATATTAATTCTCATCGATCGAGATAAACTCTCGAAATTGATGATTAGACCGTTGAATTAATTCATTGAACAAGAATTAAGTGCCATAGTTGGAATATTAATAAATTGTAAGTTGATTGTTATTAAATATATTGTTATTGTTGTTAATTATTAAGATAAAAATTGATTTTAGTTTTTTATGTTTTTACTTCTTTAATAGAAGAATTGAAAAAAATTACAAATAAATATACATAAATATCGATATTTTCACATATTTTTATATTTTCTTTGCAATACGTAAATAATCAAAAAAAATTATTAACTTTCATAAATAAAAGTTATTTTATGAATTTTAAATTTTTAAATTAGTTCTTTTTTATAATTTTGTTATATATTAACTTTATTATAAAAGTTCATCATCAAATATTTTAACAATTTTGATTAATAATAAACGTTCTGAAACATCATCTATTTGTTAATAGATATTTTAAATTTATTTATTTATTGAAACTCTGATTATAAGGATTAAAAAATATCAATATCGATTAATTGTCAATGTTCGACTTGTGATCATTTCGATTTGTTTCGAGTAGAGAGTTCAGTCTTTCAGAATTAATAGATTATATTAAATAAAAATATAATTTTTTTTTTTTCTACAGGATAAAATGAGACATGTATCGCAGGTAGAACTGGAAACTGAAACTATCAAAATACTTGGCGCTGAAAATAGAAAGAATTGTAATGAAATAACATTGAAAGCAGCATGTCGCGCTTGTGGAATAAACAAAGTTTTACTTCGACTTCCTGATATTTTCAGTACTGACAAACAATTTTTCGTAAAAGTATTAAATGCTTATAAAAAAAAGATAAAGACTAGTGATTGTATGGATATTCTTGATTTTAACGAAGTTAAGGATGCTGTTTGTCAAAAATGTACATCTTCAGAATTTGCTGAAATGTTGTCCAAAAAATTAAAAGAAGAAGAGCAAGAAGGAATAAGAAAACCTATGACAGAATTATCTAGTTTAGATGCAATGTTGAAAAGAATGCCAATGGATGTAATCATTAGTCATACAGTGGCAAATGATGAATTAATACCGTCACGTGTCGTTTTAGACATAGCTTTACAAAATAATAGTCCAACTGATATAATACAAGCTTTGGAATCTCAATCCTCTGTAGTTACTCAGAATGTTTTCAACAAACTTTGGTCTTCCCAATTTGCAGTCGAATATATTAATCAATGTAAATCTAAGGAGGATTTATTAAAGATTTTCAAAGCAATTAGCTTAAAACTCAGTCAGCAAGATCTTCTTCAAGCATTTTATGAATCTATGAATGTTAAATTAATGGTAAAGCAGGAAAATGATTAAAGTTCACATTTATATTTACAGATCCTTCTGTATAATAATTTTTATCATTAATATTGTTTATAAACGTAAGTTGATTCTCAATAATATGATCCTCGACATTAAAATGTATTATATACTATTTTTTCTTCTCAAACTAAGTTTCATGAAGAAATCTTTTAGTGATATTATATTACAGTATAATGACAAGTAATATGACATTTGTTAACAAGTACTAAAATGTAGAAGATATTTATTTAAAAAATGATTATTTTTTTCATTATGATTTAACATTTTTAAATCTTAATTAAAATTATGTCGAATTTTGTTAATGTTCGACTTGATTAACTGTGTTCATTATATATTTATTATATTCTCATGTAAAGTTTATTACACAAAAAAAAATATCTAGTTTCATTTATATCAATTTGCATATGATTTACTTCATATAAAGATATAATATGTTTATAATTTGCTATCATTCTTATTTTTATTTTATAAAATATTATTGAAAAATTTTCCATCCAATGATATAATATATAATAGTCCCAATCATAATTAAAATTCACTTTTTATTAATGATTTTTGACTACAATTTTACAAGTGAAATAAAATAGTTATTCTTAATTATGTAATTATTAGGTCACTTATATAGAAAAGCACTTAATTACACATATAAATATATATACATGTGTAACAAATATTTTATTTGTTTTTTCTTTTATCCTTTGACGGATACATTATAAACAATTTAACGTTTATAATTGAATTAATAATTAGTAATTCTATTGAATAAAAATTCCTAGTAAAAAAATTGTATTCAATAAATTAAAATAATTTATTATGACTCAGAATATATACGCTTTCGCTGATGGATAAATATAAAAACATTTCTTATTTTAACTAATCATCATATCATTAGTTTATTTTTGACATTTTGAAATAAAAAATATTTTATTATATATTAATATTAATTGAAAAATTAAAATATTATTTCTGCAAAAATAAATTTTTTTAAATATACTATATATATATGTAACGTTTAGCAGATAATATTGTAAATATTACACATGTATATTAAAATAATAATTATTGAAAAATATCAATAATCATTTTGCTATGTATTGATTACTATATCATAAGATAATAATTTGTTCAAAATAGATATCATAGTCGAGGATCGGATATAAATAATTGTCATTTGATAATTGTTTTTCAATTGAGATATAATTTTCAAAATTAAATTTTTATTTCTTACAGAATTCTTGCTCTATCTTTTGTTTTGAATTAAAAAGGAAAAAAGGTTAAAACAAAGTTAAAAAAAGGAAATTTACTATTTAATATTTACTAATTTTTGCTTTAATGTAAAAAATTTCTTATGCAAATTATTTATGCAAATTATAAAATATTTTGCATAAACTGGTACAGATTATATATTTAAAATTTTTTTTTGCGTAAAGATAAAAATGTACCTTGTAAGTAATATTTTGCAATCATTTGTGTTGAAAATAAAAAACCATAAGATAATTCAAATATTTTCAAAAATGAATAGAATCAAATAAGTTTATACTTTCTATTGAAACTTTGTTTGTAAAATATACTAAGTTCATTTCTTCAATTATTATTGCTAATATTAAAATTATTTTATATATTGAATTTTATAATGTCTCTCATCATTAATTGTATCAAAATTACTGGTTGTAATAAGGGCCAGTTTTTTCATTGAATATTATATTATTTCTTAGGATGTTTAGTTTGTGTACACATATGTATAACACCTCAACATTATATAATATGTAAACAAGAAAATTGTTATTTTTATATTATTATTGATTGCCAATTATTTCTCAGTTCATTGTATAAATATGATAAATTTATTTCTTAAAATTTTTTTTATCGAAACTTTGTTCGTTTACTATTGAATAATGAACAAGTACTTATTATTCATTGATTAAATTTTTATGTTGGGATGTTATATAATTTAAAAAAAAAAAAACTTTTGTATATACGATATTTAATATTCATCATATCGCTATAAGAATATAAGAAAAATTATATATATAAAAAGAAAAATAAATAAAAAAAAAAAAGGAATGTTAAATATACAATAGTAAATGGTTATTGTAAGTGGAACATTGAATTATTATTAATTGTAAGAAATGATAAGCTTTAAATATTAGAAGTAAGCATTTTTACAATGTTCTCGAGATATGGTGACTACATGTCAATCGTTATACATAATGAATGTTACGATCGATGTGAAATGTACGAGTGCCTCGAACGAACAAATATCTGTGCATTTTTGACTATCGAAGTTTCAAATTTAACTTTCATTTCATGAAAAATAAAATATAATAATAATTATTACAATAACACAATAATAATAATAATAATAATAATAATAATAATAATATCATAATGATAATAATTTCCATTAGCGAACGTAGCAAATTATGTGTTCATGATTAATCGCCATTTTTATATATGTGTTACAAATTAATTGTCTAATTCTAAGTAAATGTTTAAACAGCATAGTATGTTTTTTTAACACGAAGAATAATATTTCTTTCTTCATTTTTATTAATTAAGTTTTAAAATTAATTTCTTTGAACCTTTTGAATTTTTTAAATGAAAATATAAAAAAAAATTAGATATTAGTCAAATATTGTGTTTATTTTGGAAAAATAGTTCTTTTCAGTTAAAATTAGAAGAATAAATTTGCTTCATTTATTTTTCTAAAGAATTTTGATTTATTTAATAATTTTGCTATTTTTAAATCGTTTGATACGATATTGTTGATTAGAAAAATCTTATTTATAATAAGAATATCTGTCTATGTATTTATTCGTGTGAATCTTAAATTTAAATTATTCGTAAATCGTACTTTTCTATTTAATCTGATTCAAAAGAGATATGAATACATGTTTGCTAATTCATTAATATATAGATACATATACATATACGTATATAAATAATTTTAGTTAAATGACAGTATATAGGTTTTCTTGGGTCTTAAATAACATAATACGCGTAGAAATAAGAAATTATGCAATAGCTTGTACACGTATCCATTGTGTGACCTGTAATGATAAATCAATATTTTATACAAAATTGATAAGATACAATAAATAAGTTTTATAGTCATTTTTTGCGTATTTTAACTCCTTTTTTAAAGTTTTTTCTAGTTATTTTTTTTTTAAACAATTTTCAATTTATTTTCATTCTTATATTTTATTATAACAAAAATATATTAAATAGTTTTAAAAAATTAAGTTCACCTACAAAATTCAAATAGTAATTGTTTTATTAATTAATGAATCAATTAAAATTAGGATTAATATTATTAGAATTAATATATTAGATATATTAATATGTTAGAATTATTATATTCTTTGCCTAAATAGCGAATTCCAGATTTATTATTTTTGTTTATTAAACAAATTATTTTAATTATAATTAAAGAAATTATATTTTATTTTCTATGTATGATATTTCTTAATATGTATATATATATATATATATATATTTTCATATAATTATATTTATTAGATTATATTTATAGATATTTTGATAAATTTTGAATTAATAATTTGTCAAATTTTTGTTTAGCAGAATTTTTATATTTAAATATAGTTATTCATTTATTTTCGTATAAAAATAATTGCATATTCGTCTTATTTGAGATGTTACGCTTATTGGATCGAAATCAGAGATGCTTTCAATTATATTTGAAATTGTATATTCCCAAAGAAACTTGTATCAAAATACGATGCCCGCTTTTCGACGTCAGGGATGCGCACCATATTCTGGTTTTTACAGCACGTGTAATCGATACACAAAATCTAAAGACTCCTGTATTTATTATTCACATTCTATTTTTCAATAAATTAATAGAAAAAAAAATAAAAACTTTGATATTTAATTATAAAAATTGCTTAATCAAATGTATGATAAATTGTATTAATAATTTAGTATTTTTTTCTTAATTAATTATTTCTTTACGTTTTTAGCAATTTAAATTTTTCTGCTATTTTAGATTTTTAGATGGTATTTATTATAATTTTGTCAAAAAAATATAAAATTTTAAACATAAAATATTATTAATGATATTTATTTCATCGTATTCATTGTATTTCATTCAATATATATCAGAAATTATTTTAATATCTCATATTATTAAATATATCAGATTAAATATTTAATTTTTTTTAATATAAATTATAATATAGAAACATAATTTTTTAAATTTTATATTTGCAGAAATGATTGAAAAAAAATAAAGATTTTAAAAATTATTAAAAAAAAAATTAATTTTTTAATTTATATAAAAAAATATAGATAAATTATTATTATTACGAATGTCAGTTTTGATTAATTATGATTAATTAATTTATTATTAAAAAATAAATGTGATAAAAGAAAATTTTATGCATATAGCGAGTTCAAATTTCAGAACTAAAAATTTATTCTGAAAACAGAATTCGTTAAGAAAATTTAGTAGATTTAATTATTAAAATATTCACGTTTTTTTTTATTTAAAATTACGTTTTTCATAAAATTATCGACATTTTTAGAATTCAATTTCCAATATCGAATAAGTGACCACGATAACCTCGGTATTTTTAATATATTACGATTGTATCGAGTTATATTTTTTATTATTAATTATTCATTATTTCATCAAATGATCATTAAATGATAAGAAAAGCAATAAGCAATTTAATTATGTAACGTATTATATTTCAAAAGATAATGTCGTTTTATGAATAGAATATATATCTTAAAACTTGTAATGAAAAAGCTTGTTTTATAAAAAAATTTTAATTTTTTACATTTTAATATCATTAAATGAATAAAAAGTAAAATAGTTAAGGATATATGAAAAAAAAAAATAGATATTCTTTTTACGTAAAACGTGAAATTTCAAGATTTGACGAAAAGCATTTTCAAACTATTTTTAAAAGTATAGCACTACATTTGGATACTGCATCGATCCGTATAGTTTTGCAGAGGTCAACATCGATGTAGCATGATTGCTTCTTTTTATGATTTTTTATTTTTTTTCCTAACAAATTATTTCTGATAATCTAAATTTTTCAAAAAATATATTTATATATTGTGCTATATTTTTTAATTTATTTTATTATTTTGTATTTTAATAAGAAAATTCTAAAATTTTTTGATGCAAAAAAAAATTTAGGCTTTTATGAATTGATATAATATTAAAATTAAATATATATATACGTGGAATATTATAATAAAATA